GGGGAACGTGCAGATCTGCCCTCGCAGAGGAGGGAGAGCTTGTACCTGAATAAAACTTGGTCTTACAGGTGCCACTGGACTGTTTTGGATTGCTAGCTATGGGGGGAGGGGACACGCAGATCTGCCCTCACAGAGGAGGAAGAGCTTGTATCTGAAGGTGGGCCGGGGGGGGGCTCTGCATCTTACCTGTCTGCTTGTTGCTCCTTGTGGCCCAACTGAGGGCTGCTGGGAGCAGGGGGTGGGGCTTGTTGCAGGTGCCCACCCCCTGGGCTCCTTACTGCCGGAGCTCCGCTCCTGTGCGCTCCCGCAGGAAATGACCTCTGGATATTTCACTGATGATTATCTAGAAGGAAAAGAAATATTAACCAATGCAATCTAAAATATTGAAACTTAACTCAGAAGTAATTAATTAAATTAAAAAATTAAAAAGAATTACTTCTGGCCCAGAAGGTGCCTTTCAATAGTTGTTCACTTCCATTCTTTCAAGAGGTTCTCAAGAGCATATTTCCTTCCCAAATGAGCTGGATGAGAGTGAGTCTTCTTCATGGTTATGTCAAGGGAACAGGCCAGGAATAGTTATGGGGGATTTCTGATTCCGTTCTGAGCAACATTTGCTTAGGTACAATCATACAGACTGCTGGAAAAGAGGGTGGGAGGCCTTCAAGGGGGCCTGAAATCTGGAGGCTCAGAAACTTCTTCTGGGCAAGAGCTCAGCTGTGGCTCTTGACAGGGTGAGGTGTTCTTAAATACTAGATATTCTGGGGACAGGTGAATGGGTGGTTAAGATCAGCCAAGCTGGACAAGAGCTGTCATTCCTTTCCTACTGCAATCACATAGATGCCTTCCCAGTCCTCCCAGGTGCTAACAGGATCTCTATTTATTCCAGCAGAGGATGACCAGAGAAATGAGGAGGTTGAGAAACTTCGTCAGCAAATGCCAGATAGAGTTAAAAATGAAGACTTGAACGAAAACGTCAGGACTCAAGGCAGACCTAAAAGGAAGAAGGGCAGCCGTATGGTTGAGGAGCAAGATGGAAGAAGACATAATGTACATTTTTCAAAGCACAGTACGACAAAGGCAAGTAAATCCATTCATTGTGAAAAGTACTTCAGAAACAGATCACAGCTCCTTGTGCACCAAAGAATACACAGAGGGGAGAAACCTTTTGAATGCTCAGAGTGCGGAAAGAAATTCAGTGGGAGTCATAATCTTAAGCAGCATCAGAGAACCCACACAGGGGAGAAACCTTTTGAATGTTCAGTGTGTGGAAAGAGATTCATTCAGAGGATCAATCTTCAACGGCATCAAAGAACCCACACAGGGGAGAAACCATTTGAATGTTCAGAATGTGGAAAGAAATTCAGTTTGAGTGGCACTCTTCAACTGCACCAAAGAACCCACACAGGGGAAAAGCCTTTTGAATGCTCAGTGTGTGGAAAGGGATTCAGTAGTAGTGCCAATCTTCAACAGCATCTAAGAACTCACACAGGGGAGAAACTTTTAAAATGCCCAGTGTGTGGAAAGAAATTCAAGTTCAGTGACACTCTTCAGAAGCATCAGAGAACCCACACAGGGGAGAAACCTTTTGAATGCTCAGAGTGTGGAAGAAGATTCAGTCAGAGTGGCAAACTTAAACAGCATGAGAGAACCCATACAGGAGAGAAACCTTTTGAATGTTCAGTGTGTGGAAAGAGATTTGGTGTGAGGGGGAATCTTCAACTGCATCAGAGAACCCACACAACGGAGAAACCTTTTGAATGCTCAGAATGTGGAAGGAAATTCAGTTGGAGTAGCGCTCTTCAGCAGCACCAAAGAACCCATACAGGGGAGAAACCTTTTCAATGCTCAGAGTGTGGAAAGAGATTCAGACAGAGTGGCCATCTGCAACAGCATCTGAGAACCCACACAGGGGAGAAACCTTTTGAATGCTCGGAGTGTGGAAAGAGATTCAGTCGGATTAGTAAACTTCAACTTCATCAAAGAACCCACACAGGGGAGAAACCTTTTGAATGCTCGGAGTGTGGAAAGAGATTCAGTCGGATTAGTAAACTTCAACTTCATCAAAGAACCCACACAGGGGAGAAACCTTTTGAATGCTCGGAGTGTGGAAAGAGATTCAGTCGGATTAGTAAACTTCAACTTCATCAAAGAACCCACACAGGGGAGAAACCTTTTGAATGCTCAGAGTGTGGAAAGAGATTCAATCAGAGCAGCCATCTTCATAAGCATCTGAAAACCCACACAGGGCAGAAACCCTTTCAAGGAAAAACCTTTTGAATGCTCAAACTGTGGAGTTTTACTCAGCATGGAAATCTTCTACAGCATATTTATCTATATGTATCATATGGCAGAGTTACACACAGGTAGTATACTATGTAACCAAGTTGATACAACAGGTATGCAGACCAATTGGGCAATCCCTCTAAATCAGGGGTGTGAAACATGCGGCCCGGGGGCTGGATCAGGCCCGCGGAGGGCTTCTATCAGGCCCCCAGTGGAATTGGCTCTCTTCTGCTTCTTCTTCCAGTTCTGCTGCTGTTGCATCATCGTAGGTTTGCAGCTTACAGATACACACCTGAACAGCATACTCAGGATTGCAACAGCCCAGACATTTTGATGGGATAATTCAGAGCAAGAGGGTATCAGTTATCAGACACTGTTACATAAACAAAATATTGCAAGAGTGCTAATGTTTTAAGCATGTTTTTTTAAAGTTAAAAAAACCCTTTGTGTTTGCGTCCTTTATAAAGTTTATATCTCTGCTACCTGGCATTACATTTTATGATACATAAACCCAACAAGGTTTAACATAACATAATTTAATGTTATGTCAGATCCGGCCCTCGTAACAAATGAGTTTGACACCCCTGGTTTAACCAATCAGAATATGCCAAATCACAATCTCACCCTTCCTGCCCTAGAAATGCAATTTGCTACATTTTGTATGAAACTTGTTCTTTGGAGCAGTTGATTTTATCCAGACGGGCTGCTCTCCTTTTTCATTGGAATAAAAAGGTACTTTGTTCTTCACTGATCATGTCTGTCTGTGTGTATTGGGCAACCACCACACATTTAAAAAAACAACCACCCTTTGCTTGTAGCAATGCAAAGAAACCATTTGCAGTTGCCAAGTCCAGAGCTGCAATCTCCCACCTGCCCCCTTGAGCCAGCGGTTCAGTTCTAGTTCCTCGGGGCCTTCCCACCCCATGCCCCCTCTTCAATGTGTGGGGCAGGCCAGAGGGTTTTGACATCCGAGGGAGTGCCGTGGCTTCCGGAAGGGTCAGGAGTGGATTTGGCAAGGCTGGGAGGAAACATGTATAATAATAATAATTCAATAATGCAAAAATATAATTATATAGCAATATTGGCCAAGGTGTAACCAAGATACAGAAGGAAGAAAAATAATGGAAAGAAGAATAAAGTCCCAAGTATTTTACTGTGTCTCACTCCAGTGGCGTTGTAATATCAAAGTCCAATTTGACGTGCAATTCATCATGGAATGGACATTTCAGAAGTCCCATAAGTCATAAAGAGCCATGACGCGTAGTCCGGATGCTGGCTGCCGCGTTTCGAGTTGTTCTTATTCAAAAGCAATGGGCTATAAGGGGACCCAATCTCAGTAGAAGGCACATATAAAGCCAGTATAATCAGTCAAGAAGGATTATGGGTCCCATTATGGAGATTATGGAGGACCCATAATCCTTCTTTCTATATTCAGAAGGAAGAACATCTTGTCTTCGGAGATGCGGGGGAGTGATGTGGCACAATGTGGATAGCCAATAGTTCGGAGTGGGTTTAATGCATCCGCAGATGGTTCTCCTTGTTGTGTTGAGTTGGACATCAAGTTTGTGGACATGGGGGCTGTTGAGCCTCACTGAAGCACCATATTCCACAGTACTATACACCAACCACAAAACTGAGCATCTAAGTGTTGTAGCAGACGCACCCCAAGTTGTACCACATAATTTTTGGAGAATGTTGTTTCTTGTGCATATTTTCACTGCTACATTGGTAAGATGGTGTTTATAGCTCAAGGTCCTGTCCACGGTAATGCCAAGGGGTATGGCTGTGTGTAAGTTGGGAACTATTAAGGTAGACATTCAATTCACGGTTGGCAAGACTGTTATTGAGATGGAAACAGGAGCACTGCGTTTTTCCTGGACTTGGGATAAGCCACCATTCATGGTAATAGTCAGCCAGAATTTTTAGGACCCTAGTCTGTATTTCTCAGTCCTTTCAACTGATTTGTGCCTTACTGCAATTGCCATATGATAGGCATAAGCAAACTTCCTGGGTATTGTCTCAGGAACATTCCAGCTCACCTCCTCATGGTGCACCCTGGATAACGCTGAAGAGCTAGAACTTCTGGCAACCAATAGTCAGATCTCCTGGCTACACTACACATATGGAAGCAATTTTCTACTACAGCTTCTAAGAACCCACACGAGGAGAAACCGTGCTTAGATCACGCAAAGAGTTTGTCTCTTATTGTTAGGTGTAGTGGTTAAGTGTGCGGACTCTAATCTGGGAGAACTGGGTTTGGTTCCCCACTCCTCCACTTGCACCTGCTGATGTGACCTTGGGTCAGTCACAAGTTCTGGCACAGCTGTTCCTGAAAGAGCAGTTTGTGTCAGAGTTCTCTCAGCCCCACCCACCTCACAGGGTGTCTGTTGTGGGGAGGGGAAGGGAAAGGAGTTTGTAAGCCGCTCTGAGACTCCAAGTGAAGGGCAGGGTATAAATCCAATCTCCTCTTCTCTTCTTATTTCACACCTAAAAGAGAACCACAGACCATATAAAGCACTGACGCTCTATAAACTCTTGTAGAAATCTTAAATCTACACAGAAACAAAACAACAATTACATCGACTATAAATACTAACGGAGGGGAACATAGTGTCATTTGTTAACCATAGGTAGCACTGTACCGAATAATGTAAAACGAAATATGTATTATATATACTGTTCTTAATATACCAATTAAAAAAAAAATCTACACAGAAATCTTAACCTAACCAGGACGAAATGTTAAAAATACTTGGGCTGTGGAAGGAGCAGTAGCCATGTTTGAAGAGCCTCAAATAGATCTCACAGAGAAGAAAGCAAGGATGGGCTCTGCCTGGTTGAAGGAGGTTCAAGATCGGTTCATGTCTCCTTTAGCTTGGAGGAGTCCACACAAGTTCCGTGTGTGGCCAAGAGCTTCAGGCACAGATCCGGTTTTCATGTTCTTCGGAGGATCCATATGAAGGTGAAACATTCCTATAGCTGGTTCTGATGAGGGTCTTCTTCAGACGCCCAGGTGTTAGAGGTTCAGAAAGGCTCAGAAAGTAGTTACCCAAAGGAGGGCCTTTTTAGTGGTTGCCCTCTTCTGTGAAACTCGCGACTTCAGGTCATCTGTTCATCTAGCTCTCTCTGACATCAACAAAACTGACATCAGCAAAAACGTTTCCTTTCCCAAATCCTGTGAGGGAATGGATAAGTGGAGGGTAACGCATCTCTATAGCCTCTCTGCTCCTGGCATAGACATAGTGTGCCCGGCTGGCATCCTTAATGCACAAACATTTTTATATGATAAGCAGTTTTTAGAAAGGCATTGCACAACCCTAATCTCTCCCCAGTCCAGCCTGCTGTGAGCTCTTCTGGGTGTCGCCAGGGCCGGCCCCAGATTATTTTGCACCCTAGGCGAGGATCCCTTCTGGCGCCCCCCCCCTCCGTGCGCCCACCATTTTTTTTTAAAAAATGCATTTTAGGAAGAATAAAAAACACAATCAAGAAACTCCCAGAGTATGGGGCCGGGTGCAGTTTGGCGCCCCTAAGGGCCAGCCCGCTCTAGGCGATCGCCTATTTCGCCTAGTGAGTGAGCCGGCCCTGGGTATCGCCACCTTGAAGCCCAAAGATTGGATTGAAAGGAAAAGCTTATGTCCCCCAACCTTACGATTCAGTAGTGAGTTCTAAGGCTTCTGACCCTCCCAATATCATCCAGTGTTGTGGAAATAGACTGATCCCTGTGGAGTTGGCAGGTGAAACTTGTGGGATACAGATTGTCCAATCCCAATTGACCTCCTCAACCACCCCCGGATTCTCCAGGAGACAATCAGGGAAGGAGAAGTAAGACTCCCTCCTCCTGCTCTAACACCCCCCCCCCCCGCCCTTAAACCCCCCCCCCCCCGCCTCCCAAACTCCATGAGCCAGAAATGACCCGGAGTCAGCTCTGGGCCAATTCTGACTCCCCACCTCTGACTTCTCAGAGGTCCCCTTGAATTCCTCCTTGGCAATTGTGACTTTATGCTGCAAGCAATGTTCCCTCTAAGCTGTGGAGTCTTGTGAGCAAAAATGCTACTTGGTGAGCTACTGGCATTAAAGTTGTGAGCGAGCGATTGGGCTGCTGCATAAAATAGTTTGCTCTGGAGCCCTCCCTTCCTGAGCTCAGACGAAAATGGGTGAGCCAGAGGCTAAAAAACTGTGAGCTAGCTCACACTAACTCAGTTTACAGGGAACAGTGGCTGCAAGATGAGGATTTAATCTCATGACTTGGATTTGGACAGGTATCTGCATTAGGGCTGCTAACAGGCCTGAAGGGGGAGGGGGTTGGGCTCCTGCCTCTTTCCCAGAGGATTAGTGTGTAGAAATGGGCATCTGAAGAGATAAATAACATCCCATAACGCCTCTGTTAAAGGGAGATAACACTTTTTTCCCTTCAGGTAGCTCGGCTAAGCTCATTAGAGAGATGATTGTTTGTATCATGTCAATCAGACTTTTGTGTTTTCTTTCCTGTGCTTTGCATCTTTTCTGAGTTGGGCTTCATTAAATGTGTCAAAGGTTAGTGTGGCACGTCTTTTTTCAACTGTGTATAAAGTTCTAAATCAGAGATCCTCTTGCAGACCCGTGAGACTTGCACCTGGGGCCATGTCTGATCCCCATGAATGAACTGTGCAGTTCCGCAGGGCCTGTAAGGCAAAGGTGTTCCAACAAGCTTTTGGTTGAGGGCAGCAACGGTTGGTTGCGCCGGCTGGCACCCTTTCCCTCTCCCCCACCCACCCCATATATATTTTGCTTAAGTTCCCCTCTCCCCCTCCCACCAAACACAGAATGGGAACAGGAAATCATCAATTGCCACCTGGGATCTTTTATTCTGGTTTTATTTTTATTGACTGTATACAGATACTTTAAAATTTGTGCTTGTTTTATGGCATTTTACCTTTTGTACATAGCCCAGAGCCCGGCATAAGCCCCAATTAATGATTTGGGTCAGTTAAGTTCAAGAGCCAGAATATTGGGTTATGACTTGGGTTCAAATCCACCGTAGGCTTGGAAGGTCTTTGGAAATCCTTTAGCCTCTCAC